TTCCTTTTGTGCCTGCTTTCTTTCCTATTGCTTGTGTTGTGCCTGTTGGCTTACGTGCGCTACTGCTATTGGTTGGCTATTGTTCTTTCGTGCTCTTATTGTTTGCTTAGGTTCTCTTTCTCGATAGTGCCTTGTGTTCTAGCCTATCACGTAGAGGCTTATGAGCTCTGTTCATGGTGGGAGTCTTTTTTGTTGTCCTTCTGCTATCGCGCAATCTTCATTCATGCCTCACTTCGACATAGATGTCCACAAACTGAACAAGATCAATATTTGACTCAGCGGGCCCCTTCTTTTAGAAGTTGGGAATCTCAGTTTACGATGTTGTAGCCGTGTCATCAAATTACCAGAATAGATCCATCCGGATATATTTTCGAAGAAGCTTTCCGACCCTAAAAACCCCTCTCATCCGAAGAATCTCAATAATATGGAAAAACATGGGAAATCATCTTCAACCCTAATTCATCTTTAGCGTCGACTTACATCATGGGTCCCAGAACGACTCATACAAAAGAGAAAAATTGTATTACAATGTTATACACAGGCGAGCATCGGAAAGAAACTTGACTAAAAGATGTTGAGTGACTCTTCTCTGACTTGGAACAATGGGTGCAAAGGAATGGCTAACACCATGGAGCGACTGGACAGAGCACTGGCAAACATTGAATGAGTAGCACCTTTTCTGACCCCTTGCCCAAAAAGAGAGATGCGAGATGCACTTCAGCTGCTGATGTCCTGACGACAAAGATAGAATCATAACCTCGTCTTGTCTATTAGTTGTCCAAAGGTAGGTTAAAAGGTCTATGCCCAAAATCATTCATTCACAAAAGTACTCTATTTTGCGACTTGGAATTTCTTTATATAACGATAGGTTCGATATCTATTCTTGCTTTCTCTCTTTTTCTTTTAGTAATTAGCTTGGATAGAGGAAGTTGCGCCCACAGGTCCTAATATAGGCGGTCACCGATTGCCTAAGATCAAGTCCTAAGTAGTCGAAGGGGAGGGGAAGTTTGTTTCAACATAGTCAAAGCATAAGCCTAATAAAAGGAGATTGGGTTAGTGTTCAGTCTATCATTAGTCTACGGAATGGGGTGCTTTCTGATTTCACTGTCCAAATCCGCCACTTTGATTGGCCTTCCATTCTCTTCCCTGGGTGAGCTTGCGTAATTGTCAGTCTTGAAGGCCAAGTCAACAGTTCTTTGATCCGCACGAAATCCATCATTAGCTAAACAAATATTTTGTTTTTTTCTTTCCGATCGAAGAAATATTTTCATTCTTACAACTATCCTTTTGAAGCGGATAGTTCACAGTGCTTATTCTATAGAAAGGAAACAAATGCAAAATGTCTACTTTTCTAACCCCAGTAATAGATTTTGTGAGAAAGACTCTTTGTGATGGGGGTGCTGATGATGAAATCATCATGGTAGTTTAGATGGTAACAATCGTTCTGCCAATATAAGTTGTACTTGTTTCAATAACGTCATATGTTGTGAAAAGTCTGAGAACTGCAAGCCATCATTGCAAACGTCCCCCCAACAGAACGATGGAATGCAAACGCAATGCCCGTGCGGCAATAAAGGCACCCTTAAGGAGGATCTGCAGCCTAAGGATGAGGTACCAGAAGGAACGTCTTCTAAATCTAAGAAGAGAAGGCGATGGAAAAAATGATGATGATCCTACTTCTCCCCTTAGTTCAGAAAATGCCCTTCCTTCTATTTTCCTACAACTGGGATTCATTCGCCTACGACTACAAGAAAGGAAAGCTTGCCAGTACAACAATGCCTATTCAATAATGCTCCTCTTTCCTTAGGCAGTTACTTCGGGAGAGAAAACAGATATTCGGCTTTCATGCTTAGAAGAAAGACAGAATCTTTATCTCATCCTGCATTGCTTCTACCTTAAGCAATTCGTCCATGCATGCCATCAAATTATAGTCTAAGGTGGAATTCTTCAAATTGTTTGAGTCTTGTATTGTGGTTTTTCAATAAAGACCCTGACGTAGAAATATTCACAGCCTGGCTCACACGGGCGGACAATATTCACCCAGAGCTCCGTTGCGACTGCAATGTTGTTCTTGAAGGACCTCGGAGCCTTACCTTAGTGCAAAAAAGGAAGACTACTGATATATGGCGGGCGGTGAGCTCAACCTCAAACCATTGTTATTAGTTCTTATTACCTCCTTGCACGAACCTCGGTCCAATTAAAGATTTTGTTCGAAATTAGGGGCTAGAGCCCGTTAGAACCCCATTTATCAGTCGGAGGTTTGAGCAGCTATGGCAAGCTGTTTTTTCGAATAGTGGGTATGGGGAACCCACCGTACCAACACGATTGGCTGGTGTTACGAATATCGAACCTATTATTACCCCGATTAGAAAGGCATGCTAGTCTTCATATGGCTCTGGGGATGCGAGGCTTGATCCTTACCATTGAAAAAAGGAATCGTGTATTCGACGACGGAGATAGAGCATTAGTTGCAGTTTTCACCCCACCTTAACTACCAAGGGATGAAATCTTTCACCAAGCAGGGAGGTGTCACCCGAGGCCGATTCCAATGGATCACTATAGATTCTTCTAGAAGCAAGCTATTGTCTGGCTAGCTCATGCAATCAAGAAGTTGCCCGCCCACTAGCGCTTGAGCTAATACTATTTTCTTAAAAAAATACTATGATATATGGAAACTAGCTCCACTCAGACTTGCATCCGCGAGATCGCTCTGACTCTTCCGCCTATCTTACGCGGGTAGTCGATGGGCCACTTCATCCCATGTATGTTTTTATAGACTTGCTCCCAGGACTCCCCACTTCTAACTTACTTATTTCAGGGCACTAGTTCTCCTACTTGCTCAAAACCTGACTTGCATCGAACTCCAACTCAACAGTATTCAAGGCTACTACTAACGCTCATAGGAATCATACAAAAGGGTAAAACAGAGGAGGGAAAGCGAAGAGGCACGAACTCGAACTCAAGCATCTTCTCCCTTTCGTTCGTTCCTCACTGCACTCCCACAAACAAGCGATCGAGCAAGGGAGCCATTCGCTCGGCTTAACAGCGCCTCACTTCACTCATACACTTGGAATGCTAGATCGAACTTAACTCTAGGGTTCTATCTTAACGAAACAAGACTAAACTATAGCTACTAAAAACATTGATTTTCTTACCAACAAGAGGGGAAAGCATACAATCGATCGAGATCTTCAATCATAGTAGGGTGAGGGACTCACAAAGACTAAAAGAGAAGATAACACCGACAAGCAAGACCCCTTGGTTCTGGCAAACGGCTCACAATTACAAGTACCTAGGAGCATAACGATGGAATGAACGAACTACGAACAGTTAACATAATATGGTCATATATCTTAGGTTGTAACTTGATCATGAGCGATTTGTTGATGTTACACCCACGAAGTATGGAAAGTGCCAAATATTACGAACTACCCGAGGAGGAGTCAAGAACAGGAACAAGGAGAAGCGAGAACCACTTAAATGGAGGAATCTATTGTACTTCGTCCTTTGTTCCACATAGCAACTGGGGATCGAAAAGCACCAAATTTGATGACTTATTAAGGGAAAGACAAAGTAAGAGCATGCTATTGGAGACGTTGCAACATATGTCGGGGAAGCCTTCGTTGATTGTGTACGAACAAAATACGAGTCCAAAGGTAGGGTAAGAAAGGTTTAGCTAATAGAGAAATTGACTCTTCTGGGAACCAGTAACGTGTAAACCATGTCAAACCAAGACCGACCAATATCCGAACGGAACGGATTCGAACTTCTCCAAGAATAGTTTCCGGTGTGAAATGAAATTCAATGAGTAATTCAAAGGAGAAAAATCTTTGATAGGATTCATTTTGTAAAGCGAAAGTCAAGCAGAAATGATGGGGAAAAAAAGAGCACTCCGTTCCTAGCCCTTTCGGACTAGCACTCCTAGCTTCCCTCCCTTTGAAGTGGATTTATCAGCTACACAAGTCAAACGAAAGAAAGTGAAAGGCCAACTACTTCTTCATTCATGGCCTATTGATTTGATTGATCTCCCTTTCGTATTCATTCGACCTGAGGCGACCGGAGGGAGGGAAAGTTCTTTTATGCAATGCATAACGGGCGGGCCTCCTGTGGATTCCTCCAACTCCATGAATGAAGGGGGGAGTATGAGTAAGGCCGACTTTTTGATATGAAGATGAAAAAAGGAAGAGGGTCAAAGATTTCTGACTGATTGAGGAAGAGCTCCTTATGTGGTCTCACTTTACCACCATCTGAAATGCTCGAAACTTCGTTTGGTGGAAGTCAGTCCATGAAGATTCTCCCTTCTCTTACGTGCAATTGCCCTCTTTTGGTAAGAAACCAGTATCTCAGCAAATGAACATTTCTCTAGGCTTATCCTTTAGCTTATACGTCATTTGCAAGCTGCTCCAAGGGTCCAACAAATAGCTAAGGTTTGTTGACGATCCCTGGCTACAATCCCAGTGACATCATAAATAGTACCTACGACTCCTACTTTTACCACTTCGCATATGGGCTTTATATTATCCACAGCATCAACCATAAGTTTGTTTACATCGCGCTCAGTTCGAGCTAGGCGATGAAATGTTTTATAAACAATAGCACAAACTCTCGTTCTTTTACCATCTTTCATGCGAAAGTTGACCAACTTCTTGATCAATTGTTTTTGCTCACCATCCAAGTCCCCCATATAGCTGAGAATTTCCAAGCAATTGGAAACCACTTTCGATGACGAGGCCTAGAAATTGATATTACGCGATCCTTACTGTCCATCTTTATCAGCCAACTCCCCTCTTTCCTTCCATAACCGGACTAGAACCAGCAAGCAAACCAATCGTCCAATAGCACTTCGTTAGATTTGCATGTGTTAAGCATAAGGAGAAATAACAAAGTTATTAATATCTCCTATTTTAATAACGAAAATCAGAATGAGGAAGAAAAATATATCATGATGTAAGTCAATGATTCCTTGCATAATAGGTGTTGTTGCGTCTTGAGATCCTAATTGTCATGGTTCCGCAGCATCACAAGGAGCTATTGTGAGGAATCGCCATTCTAATGTCCTGAATACCACTGTCATCATTTTTCTTTCCATTCTGCTCTGCTCCCGAAAGTAGAGACTTGCCTCAGCCTCTTATAGTTGGAGTACTTGATGAGTGCCCAAGGATGCTGCTAGACTAGAAGGAAATCGAAGGTATCGAGCCTTTGCTTTCTTGTCCATTGAAGAAAATGAGACTTTGCTTTCTGTACTAACTCGCCAAAATCTTAGAAGAACTAGTCTTATTCCGCCATCCTAGAAAAAGGACTCTTATTAGGCCTCTTTCGAGGACCTACTTCATACTAAGTCCTCTTGAGTGGATTTTGATATGGAGCTCCCATGGCAAACTATATCCTCTTTATCTATATATGTGACTAGGGAAAATGTAAACATATGATAAGTAATTAAATATTGTACTCGTTAGTTTGCACCCCCCGTCTTACTTCATTCATAGAACATCATCCATACTATAGTCCATCATTCATTCGGATCTCCACATGCGCCATGGCCATTGTGAAGCAAGGATTACGGGCTCACTATGCAATAAGTCAGCTTCGCTACATGTGGAGACTATTAATAACTTGCTGAAACTCATAGGGGGCCCAAGGGAGCAACGGAAAAGATCAATTTTTTAGGACTTATCTTCCTTCATTGAAGCTTCTTTCCCTGGTATGTGATTTCTTTCTCCCTTAATCAAAGCTCTTTTGGGGCATATTGCTCCCTATTCCTTTCTAGTCAGCCTCCTTCATTGATGATGTAAGACTACGTACTTCTCCAAGAAAAAATAAGTTATTTAGACTTTTTATGCCCAAACGTGCTCAAATATGTGTTGTGTGTGTGAGTGCCTAAACGTATATGGTTGTCTGTGTTTATATTTATGCGTATGTATCCATTTTCTCTATATTATGTACTTGTATTCTGGCATTATATAACCACATACTTGTATTCTAGTGTTATGTTATATAACTTTATTCTTAGAAAAATGTTGTATGTTTTGTCATGCCCATGATTCCACAGCTAGACCAAGAAAAGAAAAATCACCTTGCACATGCTAGAATAAGAAACAATGTTATCTGAATCAGCAAATTGTCCGAAAACATGGTAGCTGTTAACAATTGGAGTACCTGGCTGAGGGCATGTATGGAGATAAGAGCACACAGCACCATGTGAAGACGTTGACAATGTGAAACCTCTTCGAAACTTCACATTCTCACCAACCATTGCTGCCACTTCTGTAATAGCGCTTTGCACTGTAGTTTCTCCCCAAAGCTTTGGGTGTTTCAGGTTAATCTTCATGTTCTAGAAAAAGGAAAAGTTATCTTTAACTACCACAAACATGTGACCAAAACAATGGTTACTTCACAATAATATAATAACTTAGAATAAGGACTTAATTATTTATCATTCCGCAATGAACATAAGACAACGGATATTAGACGGTGACGCATGTTGCAAAATGAGCTACTAGCAAGAGATAGGACCAGTGAGGCCCATCTACTCCAATGTAACTAGAAGGATGGGCCTTACTAATAGTTCATCTCTTAGTAGCTCATTTAGCTAAGTAAGTTATCATCTCATACACATCATCTACACACAAACAATAGTTACAATACATTGTCATTCAATTATGACATATAATCTACGCAACCAATGAAGGGTCTATATAACATGGCTGCTGTCAAAACCAGATATATGACTGAGTTGACAGCTTATGAAGACTGAAGAGATATTAGAATGGTAGCACATAGAACGACGCACTTGATTTTGCACCATGCCAACAGTTACGAAACTACTTCAAACTCCTCCATCGCAGAATGTAAGAGAAAATGTGACAGCACAGGAAAGGCTTATCAGCACTCATAGAGGCCCTTGGGAATTCTAAATGGGTAAAATGATGCAACAAAAAGGTAGCATGATTCCATGAAGAAGCTTTTCTCTACACAATGTTCCATGCTGATTATTTACTTAAATCTGGAATCATCCAGAAAGGAAGGTTGATAACTGACTAATGAATGGTGCTATTTGGATATGAGTTATAGCAATGAGCTGCCAAGAGATAAAATTGTTTCCGCTCTATCTACTTCCACATGACTACCATGGTATGGAGTCTATTGGCAGCTCATTGCAAAATGAATCACTGCCTCATACCCAATTTTTTCCATACTTTGAAGGGATGGAAACATGTGATCATGTTAAAAGTTTATCCTAAATGTCCAAGCCTATCAGCATCTAAGCATCAATCACCAAGAATAGATTGAAGTTATGAAAGCTCCAAACAGATAGCAAAGTTCACAGTTGTTAAGTGAAACATCAGCCTTTTATTAGTTGGCATCATGTTCTTAGGCAAACAACTATGGATAGAGAACAAGATGGGCAGATTTATCCTATTGGTTAAAAGGTAAGAGAATTCCAGTCCTCCGAATTCTTCAAGCTGTGAAGCCAACAAATAGGAAAGATAATACCCATCATATGAGGATGTGTTCTTCCGATTGGTAGAATATAAGCCAGTCAGCCTATTTTACGAAGTTGGAATGAGCGGAGGTGATATATTAAGAAGGAAAAACAACACCCACAACCACAACCCTCCCAATAGTTTCCAATGTATTTTCATGGGAACCAGGTTAATTTCTTCATTCAAAGGCATCACCTAGTTGCTTATTTTGTGAAGTACTGAAATTAAATGGGGTAGTACCAACTTACCTCCAAAATTTCAAGCGAAGGTGAAGGGTTCCCTGCTGAAGAAATACTTTCAATCCATTAGAGCTGTCCTTGCCAAAGATAAGGCCTGCAATAAAACATGCATTGATCAGTGACCAGAAATAAACAAATTACGATGTACGCAATTGTATAGCAATCAAGAAAAAGGTCGGTGGAAGCATGTGTAGAAATATAAATACTGAAATGCACCCGAATAATGATAACAATAGCAACAAAAAGAACACAGACCATGTACTGAAATATGTCGTTCCTTGCAACGAAATCTGTCTCGCAATTAAGTTCAACAACAACAGCCTTGTTCTCAGTCTGTGCTACTGAAAGCAAACCCTCAGCAGCAGTCCGTGAAGACTTCTTCGAAGCCATAACTACTCCTCTCTTCCTCAGGTCCTTTTGTGCAGCCTCTGCAATAACCCACAAGTAAGGCATGCAAGATAAATAAATGCAGCAACTAATGAGGCAAGCATATGCACCAACCGATATCCCAGTTACAACTAACAAGAGAAGATTTGACATCTTTAATTGGGGCGCTAGTTTTCTCTCTCAGTTGCCTAATAAGATTCATCTGCTCTGCAGCCGAGACTTCCGAACTAAACCTTCTTAGGGGCATCAACCTCAAAGAGCTTGGCAGGTTACCGACTTGTCTAGCTTCAACAAACTGACCTCCTGTAAATGCCCAAGAAGTATAACTGCGACTAACCTTCTTATTAGTGCTAACTTCCTTGAACAAGAATACTACTGATCTTTTGGCGCCTCGTAAACAAGCCATCCTAGATAATCAAGGAAAAGATTAAGATTACATTGGTTCTGACAACTGTAAAATCTAAGCAAATTGGATAGAGCTATTTACCAAGGAAAAAAATACTAAAACAATTTCACATTAATAGGAGCTTCTCAGTCAGTCCCTTACACTTAGTCCCTTCAGTCAGTCTCAGTCAACTGACTTGCATTTTGCACACGAACAATCCAGGCTTAAGTCCCGGGATGTTGTTATTACTGATGTAAAAAAATACCCTCATTCACTGAGTAGTTTGGGTTAGTCTTATCCAGATAAGTGATTACTGAAGAAGAAAGAACTGTACTACAATAAACGCTAAAAGTAATTTAACAATATAGCATAGACTGGTTTAGTTTGACGCAAAAAAATTGACTCTCAGAAAGAAAATTGAAATTTCAGATGTATCAAGAGTGAAGATCAAAACCACCAGTACTGTGCTCGGGTGTAAAGGCAGGAAATTCCCTGCCGAATTCCTCGATTTCGAAGCCCCATTCACGCACTCAACCGTCCCCTACTAGTGAGCATGGTGGTTAGTGGGGGACCGGGGTTTACTTGATAAGCTGGAGGTCCTTGCTGGCGGAACGGCTTATGAGCAGGTGCCCCGCCACTGAAGGAACAGGCCCACGTGGCCTAATACTTTGGAGTGGGGGTTCGAACTCGGGCCAATTACCTAGCTGCAGCTCCAGCTGACCAAGGTTTCCCCGTCACCCAAAAAAAGGAGTGAAGATCAAAAGGTGCTAGTAACCGACAACGACATACAAGAGAAATGGAGGAGTTACTTTTTTAGTTTTTAATAATAACCAACTAGGTGAGCAACATAAAAGCATTTGAGAGTACCTAGGGAAATAATGTGGTAGGTTTTAAAAAGGAACATGTATCTAGTATATATATTGATCAAGGTTTTAAATATCGGTTATCGGGGATTTATCGAACAACCAAAATCCTTATCGGATAGCGAAAATCGGGGATGTATCAGGGATAAGTAATATTTATCGGAGTTATACCAGATGGTGTATATGTATAATATAATACCCTAAAATGTAACTTAACCATATTTAATGAATTACCAAAATGTAAATAATTATGTTTAGAATCAATAACCAATTGTAGAAAGTGGAACTTGCTTCTTGATCGCACGATGAAACCAATAATCTAGCCCGAAATCAAAACCCAATAATCTAGCCCGATAAGTTCGGTTTTAGAGCTGCTAATATTGACCGATAAGTACCTTTATCGTCGCATTATCGCCGATAAACCCCCAAAACCAATAACTGATTTAAAATTCAACTTATCCTAGACGAAAGCTCCCAAAACCAATAACTCGGCAATAGTATTATATTATCGGCTGATATTTAAAACCTTGATATTGATATGATTAAAGATATGTGTGATAGAGTAATAACTAGAGCAAGAACAAATGACAAAGAAACTAAATCATTTCCTATTACCATAGATTTACATCAAGGGTCAGCCTTGAGCCCTTATATTTTCGCATTAGTTACAGACCAACTAGGCATATTCCGGATGAAGCCCCATAGTGTATGCTATTCATTGATGATATAGTATTAGTTGACAAAACTAAAAATGGTATAACATCTAATGTAAAGACGAACTCTCGAAACTAATGCTTTTAGCATTAGTAGAACAAAAACTGAATATATGGAATGTATTTTTAGTAAAACTGAAAAGAGAAAAGAACTTATAATACATATTAATGGTCAAGAAATGCCTAAACGTAACCATTTTAGTTATTTAGGATCAATCATTCGTCATGACTCTGAGATTGAGGATGATGTTATCCATCTAATTAAATCAGGGTGGTTAAAATCGATGAGTGGTTTAGGAGTCTTATGTGATCGTAGAATACCTATGAGACTAAAGGAAAAATTCTATAGGATAGTTATAAAACCAGTAATGCTTTATGGATCGAAAGTAATTAGAAAATATCTGCAAAAATGTGTAGCAAAAACAAGAATGTCACGATAGTCTTGTGGGTATACACTAAAAAATAGGATAAGAAATTGGTGCATCCGTAGTAAATTAAAGATTGATCTTATTAAGAATAAAATGAGAGAGATTCGAATAACGTAGTTTGGTCACGTACAACGGAGACCTCTTAGTACATCGGATAGAAAAAATAATAACACTATAATTAATGGGACAAAGAGATTTAGAGGCACACCTAAAAGAACTTGGTTGGGAGCGATTAAGAAGGATATAATAATGCTTAACTTAATGGAGGAAATGGCCCATAATATAACGGAATGAAAAAATATGATCCATGTCGCCGACCCCAAACATTTAGGATAAAGGCTTTGTTATTGTTGCTAATGTTGATCTTGTAGCACAGTTCTTTGAGTGTTGCTGGTTGTTGATCCCCATTTGCACAAATTCTGTGTGCCATGTACATTTAGGAAATATGACATAATGGTAAATAAGTATCCATATTGTTACCGTAACATATTTATCAAAATGAAAGGATATACACAACATGAACATGAGATAGGTGTATCGTGAAGAACCAAGGATAGACAACTTGGTATCAAGGCAATAAATTTGCAAAATCTTCATATTCGATATCCAAGTTCACCGTGTTTTTTAAACCTAGTTTACAAGAATGGCATTCAAAAGTAAAAGCACATATCCAAAAAAAAAGACAAACTATACAAAATGAAACAGCATACAAAAGGTCAATTTCATCATAAAATTGAAAGCGAAAATGCAATCTGCATTCCTAAAACCCACTACAATAGAATCTCAAGAGTAAAGTCAATATTTTTCTACGCACCTTTCATCAGAATTTTATCAGTAAAAAGAGAAATTTCATAATTATTATCTATAAACGAAATAGCTCAGTAAAGAACTCAACACTACCTCGATTATGAAGGGCAAACGTAAACCCTAGATTGAGGCTCAAAGGAAGATAATGAGAGATCTAAGGAACTAGAGCTTTGAGGATTACCTAATTGAGGAATTTTGGGCTGGGAGAGCTCTAATTTGAGGGAGAAAACTGACGATTTGAGATCGACAGGAAGAAAATGAGGGGGTTTTGAGAGGATAAGAAGAGAGAACGGGCGTATGAGCTTGCTTAAAATCAGGGCCATCCATTTTCGTAGCTTAGCACATTACATAGCGTTTTCGCATATTTGCTCCTCTGATTATGTAATTTGCATAAGAAAGAGGTAAATTGCAGTAAACCCCAAACATATACCCTTTTTCTGAGGGACATCTCTACCTTCACTCGTAGAATTGCTCGCTATTTAAGCTCGACCGTCCAAATCTTTCATATTTTGGGATTAGCCCCTCAGATCATAGGAATTTGGTATTAGTCCCCCAAATTCTTTAAGAGGTATTTTGTCGAAGGAGGTGTACAAATGTCTAATAGTTTATACGGAAGTAGATATGAAGTAAAATAAAGGAAGTAGAGGCTAATTCCATTGCTTCCGAGCAAACAATATTGTTTGTTCCCTAAAAAGTCACTTCTCATAATTTAAAAAATGATGACACGACGCATATGCGCATTTTACTCCTTAAATCTATTTAAAGCTCTTTAGGACTCAGAAGTATTTGGAAAGTAGTAGTGATTACTGCATTACTATTCGTGTACTACACTGAGGTGGCGCGCTAAGGCGGCAGTGATGGTGGTACCATATTAATTGTCTTTTGGTTAGAAATAGAAAGCTGAGAAAAATTTCAATTATTTAAAATAAATTTCTATATTCCAATTGTTCTTCCTCTTCCATTCCTATTTTCCTCTCTTAGAATCCATCCACAACAATCAAATAAGTAGAATTTCAAAATAAATCAAGAAACCACACGGATTTTGTATCTTTAGTTTTAACTGCAGAATATATGGGAAAGAAAAATAAAGACGAATAACATAATTATTTGATTACGAGGGTCTTTGGGGAGGCTTATTGTTTGGATAAACTAGCTTTTAAGCTATCTTTTACATACCTAATTGTTTGGTAAATCTCCAATAACCTAGCTTATAAGTCCCATTTAAAAAAGTTGGTTTTCCCCAACTATTAAAAAACTAGCTTATAAGTTTATATAAATAAGCTATGTTTGATGAAATAAATGGCTATTTTACCCATATAATTTTTATAGAATAGATGATATTGTTCACTGCAGACGATAAAGAAATCTACTTTATTACTAAAGGAGAACATAAAAGTTTTGATGAATAGTAAAATAACCACCTAAAAAATACACCCACGTTTTTTCATAACTACACCCAGTACTCTCCTCTCTAAAATCCCATTATAATTTCCCCCACCTAAAATACTCCCAATTTTTTCATGGTATAACGTTAAGGCTTGGTCTTCTTCGCCCACATCGAACTCCCCCATTAAAATCAAAATCAATCTTGTGGCAAAATTAGGGCATTTTCCTAGGGTTTTAGTACCGGAGAGTGAAGATCTCTCGCGCCATGGCCACTCGCCCCCTCTCCTCTCTTGTGCCTCGCTCTCTTCCTCATCGCGGCTGCTATGACTGATGACGTGTCGCGCGACGAAGATGAAGACGCCCCCAAAATCCCAGCTACAGCAACAAGATCCAGTTGGTAAGTCCAATTTGAGAACTACAGAAGTCTGATGCTTATTGGATTTTGATGGCTCAATCTGCTAAATATATGAAAATATAGGACGCAAGAGGACATGTAGAAAGACCATGTCTCTGCCGATGAGGAGTTGAGGGGGTCGATGAAGGTTTCCATCTCTCCGAAGACCATGTCTCTGACGGTGTCGGATCCTCCGCCAAGGAGCGGCGACGACGACGGCGGGATATTTTAGTGGGATAACTAGAAACAATTTTGTGAAGCAGGATATTTTGATAAAATAACGTGGGATAAATTTTTATAATCATGAAGTATATATTTATACATTTTGAAGATATAAATACTATTTATGTATTTTAAACTTACTATTATTAATTGATAATTGCTTACAAGAATGTTCGTTACTATTAAATAACTTTTGGTTAGAGTATAAGATATTGACAATTATTATTATGATGATGGTCTAATGATGGTGATAACCATAATAGGAAATAAGTAAAGAAAAAAAAATAAAAAATAACAAAATAAATACGAGTTCTAGTTTTTTACCACATAGTTCCAAGCTAAAACTTAGAATAATTTGAGAGACTAGAACTCTCATTTTTGTATAGAAAAATAAAAAAAATGGGATAATTTTGTACAATTATCCCAATTCTAGTTTTGTTAAAGTTCTGCTTGACTAACACTGTAAAATTTTATTCTAATTTTAGTTCTATGTGACTAACACCTTAAAATTTTGTTCTAGGTTTAGTTCTATGTGACTAACACCTTAAAATTTTATCCCACAGATTATCCCAGTTCTAATTTTAAGTTCTAGGTGACTAACCCCCCCTAAGAGCACCATTATAAGGTCCTCCTGTTGTTTTCCTTCTCTTTAAGATGCTTCTCTTGGATTCTTTCTTATGCTTTGAATGCTAATTATTGTTTCTAATTCAATCAAATATGCTATCCAAGATGCATCATGCAACATGTTGGTTTTTTCTTCATTTCATTTCAACTGATTGGTAATCCATTTTATTTCTAATGTCAGTGCATGTTACTATTACAGATAACTCCTCTGCCTGTTTGGCATGGCAAAGGTTACCGTTCTCTTGGTTTTTGGTTTGGTAAAATATGCTATATTAGGTA